CTCCTTCCCTGTCTCACATCCCTTGCTCCCTGCTCCTCTTCTCTGGAATCACTTTTCTGATTTTTTTTTTTTTTTTTTGAGACGGAGTCTTGCCCTGTTGCTTAGGCTGGAGTGCAGTGGCACAATCTCAGCTCACTGAAACCTCCACCTCCCAGGTTCAAGCGATCCTCCTGCTTCAGCCTCCTCACTAGCTGGGATTACAGGAACCTGCCACCATGCCCAGCAAATAGTTTGTATTTTTAGTTGAGATGGGGTTTCACCATGTTGATCAGGTTGCTCTCAAACTCCTGACCTCCAGTGGTCTGCCTGCCTTGGCCTCCCAAAGTACTAGGAATACAGGCATGAGCCACCACACCCAGCCTCTGTGATCACTTTTCAAATAACATATCTCAGGCTCTGCTTTCAGAGCCACCCAAAGCAAGAGAGTATATCATGGCTTTGTTGTAATTGTCTAACAGAAAGAATGAAATTTTGGTACCAAAGAGACCTAGTATTGAATTCTAACAGTATAACCGAAAAGAAATTATTTAGCCACCTTGAAACCCAATTTCCTTATCTTTATTACAAGGATAACATGAGTGGCTCTTATCATGTTTGTCTAAATATTAAATCAGATAATCTCTCTGAGGAGCATGATAGGTACCTGACACAGAGTAGCACTCAGTCAATATTCATTCTCCTTACTCCCACTCATTGTTCTGATAGAAATATGAACTTTTTAAAAAAGTTATAATTTCTTTAAAAATGAAATGAAAACAGACATAATAAATGGACAGTTGTATGTACAAAGAAAACATACTTCAAATATATGTACTTACTAGCATATAGATGGTTGCATATGTAAATTTCATTAAGCTAAACAGTTAAAATTTGTGTGCTTTATGTAAGTTAGGCTGTAATTGCTTATTTATTTTTTTCAAGAAATGAGTTCTTGCTGTTACCCAGGTGGGAGTGCAGTGGCACCATGATAGCTCACTGCAGCCTCACACTCCTGGGCTCAAATATCCTCCTGCTTTATCTTCCTGAGCTGCTGGGACTACAGGCATGCACCAGGTGGTTATTTTTTTGTAGAGACATGGTATTGCCCAGGTTAGTCTCAAACTCCTGGGTTCAAGCAACCCTCCTGTGTCAGCCTCCCAAAGTGTTGGTATCACAGGTGTGAGTCACTGCACCAGACTTGTAATTATTTTTAAGTTAAAAATTTTATGGATGTGCTAAATACTCCCTAAAATGAAAGGATACATCATTGTTCTAAAATGCGTTTAACATAGATCCACAATGGGACGAACAAATGAGTTATTCCTATTAGAGCAGGAATGCTTTAACAAGTTTTAAATGAAAATGCCCCTTATAGATAAACAAAACAAACCATCCTTGTTTTTCTTTTCATTTGAGATAGAGTTTCACTCTGTCACCTAGGTTGGAGTCCAGAGGTACAGTGATAGCTCACTGTAAACTCAAACTCCTGGACTCAAGTGATCCTCCATCTCAGCCTCCTGCATAGCTGGGATTATGCATACACTCAGCTGATTTAAAAAAAAAAATTTTTTTGTAGATACAGAGTCTCGCTCTGGTAGCCAGTGGTACAAACATAGCTCACTGCAGCCTCAAACAGCTGAGCTCAAGCAATGAGCTCCTCCACAGCCTCCCAAGTAGCTGAGAATACAGGTGTATACCACTATGCTCAGCTAATTTTTATTTTTTGTAGAGACAGGGGTCACACTATGTTGACTACACTGGTTTTAAACTCTGATTCAAGCTATCCTCCCACCTCAGGTCCCAAAGTGCTAGGATTATAGGTGTGAGCCACTATGTCCAGCTATGAAACTTTTAGGAATGACAGATTCTTTAAGACTCTGGTAAAAGGGAATATCACATTTTTAATCTCTTGCATACTTTTAAAAATATATCAACAGAGAAAATAAAAGACTGGATAGTTATATCAGAAAAATTAATCATGGCCAGTAGTGAGGCAGAGGTGGTAGGGCCGGCCAGTCATCAGAGCCAAGCCAGGAGGCGGAACATTGACACCATGGAGGATAGAGATCACTTGGGCTTGATCTCTATGGAAATGGGATGGAAAGCCTTGGTCTTAATAGCAGCAGATAACCAACTGAGACAATCAGCCAACAGCCGGGTAAGAAATCGCAGTGAAGTAAAATCAAAAAGTGCATGTCTTAGAAGTGACCACAGCCAGTTATGGGGGGGCTGCTTGAACATCTCAGAGTAGGAAACCCTTGTCATATGAATGCTAAGTCTTAACTTAGCATTAAAAAAATATTTAAAAAAATTTTTTTTTGTAGATACAGAGTCTCACAAGTCTTGACTTTTACATTACTAGCCCCTGTTCTTTATCCTCTTTCCCTCCTAACATCAGACTGGGGGAAGAGGAATCATGGAAGACGGGATCCCTCAGTGCAAGAGCGGAAGGTGTCACCAGCTCTCCTCAGTTTTTTCTGCCCGCCTCATCTAGGTGAGTGGCAAGTTCTTGAACGCCACCACCAGTGCCTTGCACAGGTAGGGAGGCACTTACAGTCTTTGCTGGATTTGTGGAAGGGATCCTATGACCCACAGACAGTGACAGGGTGCAATGGGTGCTAGCCTGTGGAGCAGTGGCATGCCCATTCCTTATCTAGAGGCATTCACAATGCAGCTGAAAAGACAGAAAATGCACTCGAGCAGGGGTCCACAGGGGACAAGACTTCAGGCCAAGTGAGGGAACCCAGAAAAGTATGGGAATGATGACCAATGCAAGAGTGACCCAGAAATGGAAAAGGTAAGGAACATTATGAGAATGATTTGCTTGGGTTATAAGCATCTAAGGGCAAACTTGTACTGTGATTGTAAGATAATGGCAAGTACTGTTCAAAACAAAAACACATACCACTTTTGAGATGTATGCCTTCTTATAACACATCTCAAAATGCCAGGAAAACTATACATAAGCCTAGAGACAAATCAGTAGATACTAAAGAGATAGAGCCATGTTAAAACAGTTTGGAAGGGTAGTGTTAAAACACATGCTCTGAATGAAGAGACCCCCCCCAAACAGATTTTGTGTGAACAGCATGGCTGTTTAATCCCCCGGGGTGCAGGCGGGCTGAGTCTGAAGAGAAAGTCAGCAGAGGGTGGTGGGATAAAAGTTGGTTTTATAGGTTTGGAGTAGGCAGTGGGATGTTATAGAAGTTCAAGCTGGGAGGGGGTCGTAGGGTCTGAAGTCACAAGGTTGACCAAGGTTGGTTACAAAGTCCAGTTGCCTTATCAGTTAAGGCAGGATTAAGGAACAATAGAAGAATGTCTTAAAGTTAATCACACGCCACAGGGGTTGGTCATTCCTTCTCCTTTTGTGGTTTTCCAGTTACTTCATACTTTCCAGGAACTAATTTGGAGTGTCCATGCAGGTCATAGAGGTCGCCATGGCATCCATGGTGCCATCAGTCAGCCTAAACAACCTTACAAGTACAGCTACAAGGCAGAAGCTGAGGGGCTACAGGAAGCCCATCCAGAGAACCAAATTTTCCAGGTTACTGAACTATAGAGCCAGGAAACCCCACAGGGCCTCCAAAGACCCACAGCATGCCACCAGACCTTGGGTGCCTGCTATGTGGAAGCACCTACAAGCCAACAGCGTAAGGCTGTGTCACAGCATCAACACCATGAAAGGACTGCAGATGTGAGCAGGCAGCTGAGAGGTGCTGGTCCCTTCCCCTTCCCCTCCTCCCTGCTCAACACATTGAGGGAGCCCAGGAAAGGGTGGAGTGGAAGAGAGAAGCTATGAACTAGAATGAGATTTAAACTATGCAGACCTACTTTTTTTGAAAATGGCAAATTTCTACCAGCTGCCCTAGATGTTGTTGGACAGAAAAAGGGATTAGACATAGCACCACTGAAAGTGATGATTAGGGGCCAGGCACTGTGGCTCATACCTGTAATCTCAGCACTTTGGAAGGCCGAGGCAGGTGGATCATTTGATGTCAGGAATTTGAGATCAGCCTGGCCAACATGGTGAAACCCCGTCTGTACTAAAAATACAAATATTAGCTGGATGTGGTGGCACGTGCCTGTAGTCCCAGCTACTCGGGAGGCTGAGCAAGAGAATTGCTTGAACCCGGGAGGTAGACATTGCAGTGGGCCGAGATCGTGCCACTGCACTCCAGCCTGGTGCCAGAGCCAGACTCCATCTCAAAAAAAAAAAAAAAAAAGGTGATGAATTTAGGAACCAAAAAGTGAATCCATTCCATGTTTATGCCCCCAATATATTGCAATTTTCCAGTTATCTGCTTCCTGATGTCAGTGATGTGAGAGGCATACATACATGCAGCATCCATTCATACAAACAAAGAATTGATTTAAAAAGATTCAAATAGTTTCGAGGTAGGATAAAAACAGCGACATTCGCTGGGGGATTCTTACTGTGCCCTGCATTGAACCAAGTGCAATGTCTGATTAACCCATTCACCCTCCCAGCAAGTAGTGCATCATACCCATTTCTCAGATGAAGAAACTAAGACTATAAGACTTTGAGAGAGAAGTATTCGAAGTCCTCCTGTTTGTAAGTGTCTAGTAAGTGGCTGTCTGCCCTCAATCCCCTTTTATTGCTTCTCCTAAACCAGGATTCATTAAATCAGTCTAGTTCTATTTTGTATTACCTGATTTTATAAATGTTTAAACTTAGTTCCAGAGAAATTAAAGTACTTAACTAAAGTCTTCAATTTAGTAGTAAAGATTTCTAACATAAAAAGATCTTCTAAGTTTTACTACAGGGCTTGTAATAAACGCATTAAAATGATTGCAAACCTGCCCATCAACGTGTGATACGCACTTTTGTTTTGAGCAGCAATTGTCCTTATCTTAAGAGAAACATAGTACAAAAATGGTGACTGGCTCTGGCTGTCCTGTTATCAAGAGTGGGCAATGGAGGGGCCTTGTACAATCCTTGCATTCTCAGCACCTAGCATAGTGCCTGGCATACAGTCATAACTCAATAAATGTTTGTTAAATATTAAATGTAAGTCAATATTCCCTGGATATTGAACACACACAAAAAAAGTAGTTCTTTTCCCCCTTCACATTGTGAACACTAATGAACAGATTTACTTTGTTTTTTCTGCCAGCTCACATCATTCCAAGTTTTATTTGCATTGGTAATACAGATGCTTACAAGTGGGCTCGTTCATAGTCTCCTCTGAACTAACCATCATGACATCATTACCTATCACCAGACACCAAGGCCAGATCTTCTAGGTCAATCTCTCTACGTATGTGCATTGCTTGTTCCTTTGCATTACTTCTTTTTTGTAATATAGCTGATATTCCAGGAGCTGACTCCCAGACCCTTTTTGCCAGCAATGACTTTCAAGGACGAGATTCTGCTGCCCATCTCTTGCTGATAGATGTAGCTGAAAGACCTGTGTGGAAACTTACAAAATCAAGTGAGTTTTCTTCCCTCCCCCTCTGTTAAATTCTAACTCACCATCCCTCACCCATTCCTCAAGCCCAGCTCTCTTCCACAGGCAGTCTCTGCCAGCCAGGCCAGGCCTGATCTTGTTCTCTGTGTGTCTGAAGCAGGGAGTCCTAAAAGGAAATATTGCTCTCATTCCAGAGTTGCTTCAGCTTCATGGGCAAAGAAAAAAAAAAATTCAGAGAAAGGTAAATGCAGCAACTCTGAGAAATCTTAGTTGATTATTTACTGTTGTTTAACTTTCGAAAGATTCCACTGTAGAAGGGGAGTACAGGTATTTATAAAGTTCCTAGGCCAGGTAACTCTCTTTCTCAGACGTTCTAGGCTGTTTAGCTTGAGCTCATTTGCAAGGGGGCCAATTCTATGAACCCTTTCGTTTCCCAGAATGCCTCACAGTGGACACTCAAAGCAGCCGACTTGCTAACAAGGCTGAAGGAATTAGGTTTCACATCATTCCTGCATTATTGATGGTGCTTTGCAAATTAGCTTTTCCTGTGCACATGGCTCTCCTTAGCTCATCTTTACAGCATAGAAGACCGTTGTCAAAACTGTTTTGAAATATGATTCTGGTGTTTCAGAGTACCATTTCATGGGACTCAAGTTTTCAGGCCAAATCTCTGTGCAGAGATGAGAACTATTCTGCTTAATAAGTATTGTTATTATTAATTATCTAAAGCAATTACTCAAAATACCTAAATGCAGTTAATGTAGTCAGGTAATATAGAAGCTCATGTTAAGGGCTACCATTTCAAAGAATGCAGGGAACACTATCCACTTTCTCAGAGTCCTTAGAAAAATATATTCATGCCTGTAATCCCAGCACTTTGGGAGGCTGGCGGGTGGGAGGTGCAGATCACTTGAGGTCAGGAGTTCGAGACTAGCCAGGTCAACATGGTGAAACCTGTCTCTATTAAAAGGAAGTGTCTCTATTAAAAGGGAGGTGGAGGCTGCTGTGGGCTGAGATTGTGCCACTGCACTCAAGCCTGGGTGACTCAGCAAGACTCCATCTCAAAAAAAAAAAAAAAAAAAAAAAAAAAAAAAAAAAAAATATATATATATATATATATATATAATGGTTTATTATATACAAGAGGCCAAGGCAAAATGACACATGGTAAACAGACTGAACTAAACACCAAAAATAACAATGCACTTTTTTTTTCATCCAACAAGAAGTCATAACTTTATGATAGAAACAGTACAAATTTCAAACCAAGCAGCAGTTACTCCTTTCAGACACCAAAAAAAGTTGCTTTCAGGTGGTTCCTTTGTTAATTCCATAACAGCATTTACAATGTCCTTACTGTTGTTCTTCAGGGCTCCAATTGCCTTTGCTCTCGACACATTCGCTTGAGACATGACCAATTGTATGTCCTTAACTTCTACACCTGTTCCATCAACCTTGTCCTCTTCACTCTTGTGAAGAGTGCTTGCTGAGATAAATCCTCAATCTTGGCTTCCCCCAAAATGATGTAGGTATCTGAAGCAGGGCTCTTGTAGACATCTGGTTTGGTTATGACAAAGAGGATATTCTTAAATTTCTGGATTGTGACTCTAATAACTCCTGTAACCTGTCAAAGGCCCAGTTTGGACGTAGCCTTCGTGCTTTCTTTTCACTCCAATTCTGTTATGCTTTACTGACCGATTCGTCATCAATTTCAGCTGCTGCTGCCACAATGCACTCCTTATTATGGGTCTATCAGTTAGGAAGAGCAGTTGGATGCAAATCACAGAGGTACAACAAGCAGCTAAAGAAAATCAATGGTGGCTAGGCACGGTGGCTCACGCCTGTAATCCTAGCACCTTGGGAGGCTGAGGTGGGCAGTTTGAGACAAGCCTGACCAACATAGAGAAACGCCACCTCTACTAAAAATACAAAATTAGCTAGGTGTGGTGGCGCGTGCCTGTAATCCCAGCTACTCAAGAGGCTGAGGCAGGAGAATTGCTTGAACCCATGAGGTGGAGGTTGCAGTGAGACAAGATTGTGCCGTTGCAACAAGAGTGAAACTCTGTCTCAAGAAAAAAAAAAAAAGAAAAATCAATGGTTACTATCACACATAAGAAAGTCTGAAGGTATGCAGTCCTCTTTCTTATTTGCCATCCTTAACTTTATGACCCAAGAAGGAGGCTGGAGCCCTAGGTATTGCATCCATATCCCAGAAAAGAAAATGGGATAAAGGACAAAAGAGGTAGGCCAGACAAGGTGGCTCATGCCTGTAATGTCAGCACTTTGGGAGGCTGAGGTGTGTAGATCTTTTGAGGCCAGAAGTTCGAGACCAGCCTGGCCAACATGGCAAAACCCTATCTCTACTGAAAATATAAAAATTAGCCAGGTGTGGTGGCTCACTCCTGTAATCCTGCTACTCAGGAGACTAAGGCAGGGGAATCACTTGAACCCTGGGAGTGGAAGTTGCAGTGAGCCAAGATGGCATCACTGCACTGCAGCCTGGGTGACAGAATGAGACTCTATCTCAACAACAATACAATATTCATTGTTTACTGAAATTCTAATTTAACTAGGTGTCTCTCATTTACTCTGGCAACCCTGACCACCCAACATCTTCTGGGATTTCATTAGCCACCCCTACTGTGAAGGAGGCTAGAAAATGTAGTCTTTTAGCCAAGGACATTCCCACTCTGCAATTACTCTATCAAGGAAGGCACAGAGAGTGAATACTGGGTTAGGAGCCAACAGTCTTTTCAGTAGTGAGGGTGGTTCTGGAAAAGGTGACAGAGTCACATCTATGCCTCATGCCCTCTGTGAAGAATTTCTTGACTGCAACAGCCTCTTGTGGTCACTGTGGTCTCTCCAAGCCTGTGGCCCTTTCTGTCTTAGTTCTATTAATAGATACAAAATAAAGATACTGATTTTTAATTAACATGTAAGAACTGATGTATTCAGATGGCTACTCTCTTCTTCAAAGGGTTAAACACACAATATTGCCACCCTTAAAAACACCTTTAGAACTTAGATCTGGTAGAAACAGAAGTCTCCCTTTACAAGGCGTACAGGAAACTGCAGGCTGTAAGCAGGGCCAGGGATGCCTTGGAAATTTGCTGACTTTGAGTACTTCAAGAAATTTCATTCTACGATAAACTCATTCCATTCCTCATAGAAAGACCAATTTCAAATGTCCTTACACATATGGAGAAGCTAAAAATTAAAACAATTGAATCATGGAGATAGAGAGTCGAATGATGGTTACAGAGGCTGGGAAGAATAGCGGGAAGCAAGGGGAAAGATGGGAATGGTTAATGGGTGCAAACATATAGTTAAATAAGATATAGCATTTGATAGCACAACAGGGTGACAACAGTCAACAATAATTTACTGTATATTTTAAAATTATTAGACCAAGCACTCAGCACTTTGGAAGGCTGAGGTAAGAGGATCACTTGAACCCAGCAGTTCGAGACCCGTTTGGGCAACAGAGGCCTTCTTGGAAAAATTTAAAAATTAGCCAGGCATGGTGGTACATGCCTGTAGTCCCAACTACATGGGAGGCTGAGGCAGGAAGATCACTTGAGCCCAAGATGTCAAGGCTGTGGTGAGCCGTGTTCTTGCCACTGCCTGCCAGCCTGGGCAACAGAGCAAGACCCTACCTCTCAAAAACAAACAAAAATGAAACAAAAAAGTAGAACTGGAATGTTCCTAACAAAAAGAAGTAATAAGTGCTTGAGTGAGGTGATGGACAACCCAGCTACCCTGATGTGATTATTATACACCTCATGCCTATATCAGAGCATCACATGTACCCCTGCCATAAATATAGACACATATTATGTACCCAAAATAATTAAAAATAAAATGTTACACTATTTCTCCCCAGAACCTTCTCCTACCATTGTAGGGATACAAGATTATCTTCTAGGGTGTCAACAGCTCTGGCCAGTGGGGATAGGACTGATGAGAAACAGCTGGTTTAGGAAACTGCCCTTGGAAAGCTCATGGCCCCTCATAACTCAGCCATCTGTGGCCTGATCGGTGTCACTAAGGCATGGTTTGTACTCTGTCTTATGTCCTAAAATAAAGGTAGGGAACAATGGAGAAAAACTGGCCTGAATTAAAATGTTCTCCATGTTTCCCTCAAAAAATTCCAATTTGGAGGTCCCTTTTGCCTGATAGTGACTGCTTACAGTTCCCATCCAATGTAAACTATACTTCCATGTTTTTTTTCCCCTGGCTCTTGACTGGCTGAACTTGTGATGTTTTATGGGGGTCCTTCTCTACTTCCTATGACACCCAATCACACCCACCTATCCTCCAGTCCCTTTCCCAAATTATCTCTGTGGTCCACTGACTTCCAAAAGTAGGGTCAAAATTACTTTTCTAAGAATAAGCCTTAATAATATCACTTACATGTTTTATCTTTTCCTGGATGGCTACTGGGCAAAAATATCTTCATGCAGGTGCTGATAACAGTAAACACATTATATGTCTTCAGCCTGGGGTTTAACCACATTCATTTCTGGGTTTGTCATATGTTCTCTCTCTATTTATACTGCTTTGGGTCAGCTACTTGATACTTAATAAAATTTGCCTCCAAGCTGTTCTGCAGGGAAAATGACCTATCTGGGGGAACACTGTTCCAACTCTATAACCTCTGATGATTGCCCAATAGTCCTCCGAAAAGGTTGCAGGGCAGCAGCGAGGGAAGGTCCATGCCACTTCCTGGCATTTAATGGCAACAAGTGCTTTAGCGTAAGTATAATTATATCCCCTGCTTTCAGGAGGCCTTTCCAGCCAAACTCTCGGACATGGGAGCAACTGTAGATGGCGTCAGCGATGTGGAAATTCGGCCTCCGCTCAAGGTCAGAACAAGCCGTTTGCAAGTGCTGATTTTACCAACCTTTCGGTTATTTTGGAAAGCTAAAAAAGAACGCAACAGAGGCAAGAAGGGATCTATGGGATGGAAATAATGAGCCATTTATAACCCAAAATGAGACTGCCAGGAAAAACAAACACACAAAAAAGTACATTTTATCAGAGGCTTGGGCTGCCCAAGGCTATTGGGGTGCAAAGCACTGCGTGTCCAGCTCTCTGGGCCAAGAGCTACAGTAAGTCAGCACCCCCTGCAAGGATCCTCTCCTGTCAGCCCCATCAAGCAGCCTTAGCCACCTGGTGGACAAGAGCTTTAGTGTTTTTAAAGTGTGTGCTGGGTGTATGTTTCACATTTTTGGTAAAGATGTGGAGTCATGTTACAACACTTAAGTGCTTCTGCATAAAATTTGCGCAGTTCTGACAGGCACTGAGATCCTCGCATCGGGGCCCCCACCCTGACATACAGATTATGTGATATAGCTGGCCTAGAATTAGAACCAGTACAATGCCATTTTAAAATGGGAAAACTGTTTCCATTCTCCTCACAGACTTTCTGTGCTAAGTTCAATGTAACAATTATGTAATGTGTGATCAGGCCCTCCAGGTTTCTCCTTGTAGCCTTTGAAAACAATTTCAGGCTCTGTACTTGGCCCTGGTTTCCGGCAGTTCTCTGATCCGAAGGTGCGTGGAATGGCTCAGCTGTCAGCACTACTGGTGAGATACAGAAAAGTGCCACGGGTTGATCTTCCTTTGGCACCAGCACAAAGGAGGCTGGCAATGGTCCCCAGATGGCCTTGGCCTGCCCTGAGGCACCCTATAGGGAAGAAGGCTGAGGACTGTTAATCTAAGGAAGTGTAGGTCAGAGGATTGAATTGGGGCTGCTACATAGGTGACAAACATGAAATGGATTTTCCCAAAGCAAAGCTTTCTAGCTAGAGCAGCCGCATAGTTAATGGTTTACTCACAGCTCCTTTGTCTGCTGATTGGAGATTTGGCACTGTGCCTGCCTCCTGGGCTTACCTGAGCAAAGTTATACAGTAGGTCAAGTGTTTGATGCCTTCTCACCTCCAGTCACTGTACTGGCGCCCGCCTCCCTGCCTGGCTTCTGTTTCCATCCAGGCTTCCATCCACTCAACAAAGCTTTCGAGCACCTGCTCTATGCCAGGTGCGGTGCCAAGTGCTGGGCACCAGGCAGGGCTTTCTCAACACCTGGTGGCCCCCTGTGGTGTGCTGGGCCAGTCCTAACACTGGCCTCCTCTCCCGTGTCACTCTCAGCCCCACCATTTCCCAAAATTATCCCTCCCTGCATTCACTTCCTACAACCCTTTTCCTTTCCTCAACCTTAGGGATGGGACCATTTCTTTATAGTTTTTATCATAGAAATCCAACGCATTTTATTTTATTTTATTTTATTTTTTTTTTTTTTTGAGACAAGAGTCTCGCTCTATCACCGGACTGGATGGAGTGCAGTGGCGCCATCCCGGCTCACTGCAACTTCCGATTTCTGGTTTCAAGCAATTCTTCTGCCTCAGCCTCCCGAGTAGCTGGGACTACAGGCACTCACCACCACGCCCAGCTGTTTTTTTGTTTTTTGTTTTTTGTTTTGTATTTTTAGTAGAGACAGGGTTTCAGCATGTTGGCCAGGATGGTCTCTACCTCTTGGTCTCGTGATCCGCTCACCTCAGCCGCCCAAAGTGCTGGGATTACAGGCGTGAGCCACTGCACCTGGCCAGAAATCCAATAAATTTTACTTTTATAAAAGAATTGTTCTTGGTAATCACAGATTCCTCCCTGTGGAATCTGAGTTTCTGCAGATTAAAAAGTGATTATGTGAGCTTGGCAGTGCAGGTGGTGCCTATAATCCCAGCTACTTGGGAGGCTGAGACAGGAGGATCACTTGAGCCCAGAAGTTGGAGACCAGCCTGGACAACATAGAGAAACCTCCATCTCTAAAACATTAATTAATTAATGTTAATTAATTACAAAGTGGTGGTGTGAAGAAACAATGTCTTCTACGGAATGAACAAGGCATTAATTGAAAAATGTGAAGCAGGAAGGGACAGGGGAGTAATACATTGTCTGGGCAGAATCCCTCCGATTTCACCAGGTAGACAAATTGCCCATTTCACCTCTCCACTTATTATCGGTGAGCTGTGTGTGTAATGGTTAAGGAGGCAAATTCTGGAGTTGGACTACCTGGGTTCAAATCCCAGCTCTGTAGGTTATAGCCTAAGAAAGCTATTTGACATTTGTTCCTTAATTTCTTCATGTGAAAAGAGGGGTGGTAGAAATATCTAAGTACATCTCACAGAGTGGCTTGGGAATGAACATAAATTAATATGTATGAAGTTTTTATAACACTAGCATGCACAGTAAGCACTCTATAAATATTAACTTTTATTTTTCACAAAGGCAACTCTATGCTTTCTACTTTGCAGCCAGATTCTCATGGTAGTTACTGCATTCGAAAGACAGAATTTGTTATTTGGGCTGCAGTTTTCACATCTGCAAAGTAGAAAGAAGTGATTGAATAAAGATGGGGGGGCAGAGGCTGCGTTCTGGTCTGTGATCTCTACTTGCTTCATGACCTTGGACAACTCACTTACTCTCTCTGCATCCTGGAGATTGGACTTGATCTGAATTTCCCAAACTCAGGTCATTCAAATAACACTTAGAGAATCTTTGTCATATTCCAGTCCTCTTCCATATACTCAGCTACTTAGTTTTTTCCTTTAGATAATCCTTAATTCAATTCACTTTCATATGTAGCCTCACAGGAAGCAGTAATATCCATGTATGCAAGAGTCTGACATGCTGCAGATTTTTCTTTTTCCTTTATTTATATATTGTGATAAGGTTTTGCTATGTTGTCCAGGCTGGCCTTGAATTCCTGGGATTAAGCAATTCTCCGGAGTAGCTGGGACTACAGGTATGTGCCACCACAGAGGGCGTGATACGCTGTAGATTTTTCTAACACGTGTTAAAATAAATGCCTAATGAAAGTTTTAAACGTTTGTATAATACCAAATCATCTTGCATCTGATCAATGAGGTGAACACAACACTTTTGGAAACTGGAGCCAATGTTCCCTGTGGATCCAGGCAACTCTAAAATCTAAAATGCTGCATCATGTTCAGGCCCTATTTAACTTAGGGTATGTTTCTTTATATTGTTTATCTCCTTGAGGGTTCAGACTGTGGCTTATACCTCTTTGGGCACATAGCACGTAGAAGAGTACTTGATAAATCTGTATTTCATGTTAAATTATAAGCACATCATACATACATACAAATATATCCATCTCCTACTCACTCCCAGACCCCATCCACTGCCAAAATGCTCATTTCTTTCTCCGCACTTCAGTGTCACTGTATTCCTCAAGTGGCTGTTCACAAATGAATTAATTGAAGCATGTGGAGTTCCAGGCCTTGTGGGGGCACTCAGGAAATGTCACCTTCTCTGACCCCTTTCCCTCTTCCTGTGCCTCTTTGTTTGTGAGTAGCCCTTTGTCCATGTGAAAAATGGGCCCACTTCCCAAGGAGTTTATAGCCCATGCTCTTGAGTCAGAATAATTGTTGTCTTCAATTTTAGCCCTAAAAGAGATTCCATTTCCAGGTCCAGAAACTTCTAATCTAAGAGAAAGCAAGTATACTCTAAAAGCTATTATTAAAGAGACCTTAAAAAATTGTCTGGTGATTTCCTAAAATTCATCAGCAAAACTTGAATGTGCACCCACAGTATTATGACACCATGGTAGATTCACGGTCTGAGCAATTTCACAAGCAACCAGCGTTTACTAAGCCTCTGCTTGAGCCTCTTCTGGGTCCATAACCTTGGGAGACACAAATCTGAATAAGACAAATCTATTAGACTGTGAGACTAGAAGAGACTAAAAGACTGTGAACACCTTCAAAGCAAGGAATACGTCTTCTTCTTTGCCTCCCCAAGGGCTTAGCAAAACATCGTGCGTGTGGTAGCTATGCGTTAAATATTTGTTCTGTACATGAGCAAATGAGTGAATGACACTGGCCCAGCACTGAAGGAGCTTACAGTCTATTTGAGAAGAAAGAAGCCACAGACAAACTATGGGTTAATTAACAAGAAACTCAACATTACAAGAGAGAACACCAGCTAATAAAAAGGTTAAATGAAGGGGTACTATCGTTCACCTTCCCCCAAAATACCAAATGTAGATTCAGCCACAGGTCTCAAAGAAGAATGTGCATTGGCCGCTCTTCTGTACTTTGATTTTTCTGTACATGAGCCCAACTTCAGAGGAAACTTGCTGGGTTGTTGTCATGTGACTGATTTCTTTCTTTCTTTTTTTCGAGACAGAGCCTCCTCTGTCACCCAGAGTGGAGTACATTGACATGATCTTGGCTCACTGCAACCTCCGCCTCCCAGGTTCAAGCAAATCTCCTGCCTTACCCTCCCAAGTAGCTGAGGTTACAAGCGCTCACTACCATGCCCGGCTAATTTTTGTAGTTTTAGTAGAGACAGGGTTTCACCATGTTGACCAGGCTGGTCTCAAACTCCTGACCTTGTGATCTTCCCGTCTGGGCCTCCCAAAGTGCTGTAATTACAGGCATGAGCCACCATGCCTGGCCTATGTGACTGATTTCTAAAGGCCACCAACCTTCTTGGCTCCTGGGAATAATCAGGGTATTATTTAATGTAAATAAATCAGCGAGTGTTTATCCTTCCATGCATTCTTCAGTCATCCACAGTCAAAGAGAGAAGGGGCAATAATGACTTCTTTGGAGCTGTGAAGTTGGAATATACAAGAGAAGCTGAAAGCTTTCAATTAATGATTTCTTAGTCTCTAAGTCAGGGTGACCCTTCCACATAAAAGGGCCTTAGCCATCACTTGCTGGAGAGAGGTGCTGGGCTCTCTACACAACTCTCTGGGATTCCAAACTGTCAGCATAAAAATAGCAGCCCAAATCAATGTTCTCTATTATTCATTAGTTACTGAAATACTTTTCCCAAATATACACCTAGCTGAAAGATGCCTTCTTTCAAAAGGTTTTAAACCATTTTTAGTCCATGAATCTTAGTCCATCTTTAAAGGGCACCAATTTTTCTTCAGACCATATATTTCAGTCGATTTCATTGGGCACTGATACCATCACCAGCAAAACCCTAATTAATTGGGAAGAATGACATTTCCATTAAAATTCTTTTTGAAAAGTGATTTATGCACCTGGCTGATAAAAATTTCAAACAGGGCAAAATAATATGGAGCAGAAAGTAAATTTCTATAGATCTCTGTAACCCAGTCTTCCAATCTTTTTCATAAAAACACCCAGTGTTAAATTTCTTGAGTATCCTTCTAGAAATAGTCTATGTAGATATAAATGCGCGCGCACACACACACACACACACACACGGGGTCTTTAAAAAGTTTATGGAAAATGCATATTATGAAAAAACTATGCATGGATATTCATTTTTCTTGTACCAAAATAAACTCATACTAGTCTGTTATAACATGTTGGAACAGAATCTAGTTGAGGCAGTAAGAAGGATAAGACTTCAGTTTGAGAAGAGCCTCTGTCAGAGCAACATGAATTCTGCTAAAATTGAAGCAAGAACAAACTTCAAATCTAGGGTGAAGCTTGGATGGAAGAATAGTGAAATCATTGAAACTTTACAAAAAGTATATGGGGACACTTCCCCAAATAAACAAACAGTTTACACGTGGCTCATTTTAAGAAGATATGAGACCATGTTAAAGATGAAGTCCACAGCAGCAGACCAATCACACGCATTTTCAAGGAAAACATTAGTTCTGTTAGCTCCTGCCCATAATCCCAACACTTTGAGAGGCCAAGGTGGGAAGGTTGCTTAAGCCCAGGAGTTTGAAACCAGCCTGGGCAACATAGTGAGACCCCCATCTCTACAAAAAAATTAAAAATTAGCTGAGTGTGGTTACACAGGCCTGTAGTCCTCGTTACTTGGGAGGCTGAGGTGGGAAGATCACCTGAGCCTGGCAGGTCAAGGCTAGAGCGAACCACAATTGTGCCACTGCACTCCAGCCTGAGCAACAGAGCAAGACCCTGTCTCAACAAAAAAATTAATATTGTTTGTGCCCCAATTGGGGTAGACTGACCATTAGGAGGATAAACCTAATTATAAACTCAATAAGCATAAACCTAATTATTGTCAACACCATAGACAGCTCCATTGGTTCAGCTTACACAATTCTGACTGAAAAATTAATGTTGACGAAACTTTTCACTGGATAGGTAACAAAATCATTGCGCTCAGATCAGCTGCAGACAAGAGCAGAGCTATCAATGGAAATTTTAAACAAGTGGGATCAAGATCCTGAAGCATTTCATTAAAGGATTGTAAGAGGAGGTGGAACACGGCATTACCAGCATGATCCTGAAGACAAAGCCCAGTCAGAGCAATGGCTACCAAGAGATTCCATTCTTCGTACCTCTTGGACCAAGAAGTGGTTCAGTCAAAGCAAAAGGAGACTGGTCAAGAGTAAAGGTCATGGTAACAATTTTTGAAGATTCTCAAAGCATTTTGCTGTTGGCTTTCTAGAAGGCCAAAGAATGATAACATCTGCTTCTTATGAGGGTGTTTTGAGAAAGCCAAAACTTTCAGCAGCCCAGACTCCAGGAAAAGCATCACTGGAGAGTCCTTCTCCACCGTGACAATACTCCTGTTCATTCCTCTCATCAAACAAGGACGATTTTGTGAGTTTCACGGGGAAATCATTAGGCATCCAACTCACAGTCCTGATTTGACTCCTGACTTTTTGTTTTCTAATCTTAAGAAATCTTTAAAGGGTACCCATTTTTCTTCAGTTAATAAAGTAAAAAAGATTACATTGACATGGTTAAATTCCCAGGACCCTCAGTTCTTTAGGTGTGCACTAAATGGCTAGCACCACTTACACAAGTGTCTTCAACTTAATGGAGTTTATGTTAAGAAATAAAATTTATTTTTATTTTTATCTTTTAATTTTTTTTCCATGAACTTTTTGAAGTCCCCTAGCACAGCAGTTGCCAACCTTTTTGGCACCAGGGACCAGTTTCATGGAAAACTATTTTTCCGCAAACCAAGGTGGGTGGGGGATGGCTTCAGGATGAAACTTGCACCTCAGATCATCAGGCATCAGTTAGATTCTCAGAAGGAGCACACAACCTAGATCCCTCACATGGGCAGTTCACAATAGGGTTCACTCTCCTATAAGAATCTAATGCCCGCTGATCTGACAGGAGGCAGAACTCCTTTGCTCACCTCTCACCTTCTGCTGTGTGGCCCGGTTCTTAACAGGCCATGGACCAGTACCGGTCTGCTGCCTGGGGATTGGAGACCCCTGCCCTAGTGTGTGTGTGTGTGTGTGTGTTCCCCTCCCCTTCCTTCTATATACTCTTACATTCTTTAAGGAAACTTAACAGATACTGTGAAATTTGCTGCAAATCTATAAGGCTGCACTATATTCCATAATATTGGTGTCCCATAATTTACCCAGCCCCTTCTGAATAGACATAATGGTGGTTTCCAGTTTTGTACTTCCACAAACATAATTTTGCACATATGTATGAGTAGGACTACAGAATCAATTTCTTGAAGTGGAATTACAGAATCAAAGGATATGTAAATTTTCATTCTGATAGACATTGCCAAGTGGTGACACTTAACATTTGATGAGAATTGCCAAAAAAGTAAACTATTTGTTCATGCCAGAAAATAGTATTTTATTTTAAATTTTAATACCTCAGGCAAGCAAGTAGCACATTTATTCATGAAACTCATTTGCCCTGGTCCTGCCACCTAAAACACACGCACAGACACATTGTTATAAACCCATTCAAAATATACTTGTGACAACAGCTTGCTCAGTGAGGAACTTGCCAGAAGTTTCTTATCATCAAATTGTGTGAGTATCTGTCGCAATGGGGTGAGTTTGCATGCTCTCTACTTTGCCCTGGCTGTGTTTACTACCTTTCGTGGCCCTGGTCAGTTAGTAACACTGTCTTGTTTTCCTTTTGTAACTGAAGGTCACTTTGTGACCCTGCCCTGCTCCCCACCTTCTCTGCCTTAGTTTCTTCTCACCTTAATTTCCTCATAAGAGTAACCAGTCTGAAAATGTCAGGACAGGCAGATTATTGATGTCTTGGTGAAGAGCCCCTGGGCACAATGGAACTTGGATTTGACTTCTATTACCTGTGGGGTGAGTTAGTAAACAGACAACCTTGTGCTCTGTTCAGCAGCTTCCCTTCCTGGCTTTCTATAACGTAAAAAGTAGAGACCCAGAACATTTTCCCGTTTCTCTAGTGTTTACCCAACATGCACTCTGCGCTAACAGCCCCATTTGTGGCTTCTTCCCTATTTGCTCTTGTAACATGAGAAACAGTGTGGAGGTTTTATGTTTGTTTTGTAACCAGCTATAACCATTTCCTCTTCTCTGCCTCTGACTACAAACACATTTCCTTCCTGGTAACCATTGAAAATCTATATCTGACCAGGTTGAAACCGAATGAAGTAATTTTGGTTTCATTGGTGACAACCAATTAAATATAATTCTGTTTACATTTAGAATGGGTTGTAAATTTAAGAAGATGACTTAAGCCCTACTTAAAATATTTTTTGGCTCATAAAACCATGAAATGATTTCTGTAATATGAGTAATCAAGAAGCTTCATACTTACATTTACCTTTAAATTGCTCTCAAAGAGCCAGAGACTGGACACAAAAAAAACAAACAAAAGACTTAGACTCTGCAAGGAAGCTATTCCACTACCTCCATGCTGTGAGCTGTTTAAGCTCCTTAGCTCAGACAGCCCTATTTTCTCAGGGAGTAATGGAAAAAACACATCTCTACTTAAAAATAACAATAAAAACAAGAACCACACTGCACTACTTTGGTAAACCTCAAACTCATGTCAGTCACCTGCCCAGATGGGAGTTTAGAAGTTGGTGCTACTCCTCTTGGTCCTGCCTTAAGAGGTCACCAGAAGACAGGACCCTAAGTTCTAGGAAAAGGAGTAAGAATGGACAACATTTGGGAGCCACCAAACTATTCCAGACCAGGTGACAGAAACCTTAAAAGAAAAGCTCCAAATACAGTCAACTGACCAAATCCCTCCACACAGTGGAGAGGCTTTGAATCAATCAAGACAACTCCCCGCTTGTGGGCGCTTACAACAAAGATACAGATGAATCTTTGGCAATGGATTTTTTTATCGAGTTCTATCTCCTTTTTTTCACAAGCATGTATTAGGAATGTTTTATGCGTTGTACTTTCACTGACTAAAAAGTCATCATGTGTTGTACTTTCACAAAGACTAAAAAGTTATCAACTCTGCCCCATAGTGGGTGCTCATTAAATATTGTTACATGAATGAATCTGTGAATGTATGCATGTGAATGAATGAATAAATAAAGCTTACAATATGGTTATGTGGAAAAATACAGGTTTAATTTTCTGTTACTTGTGGGGGTGGTAAGTACAGAACACACTGGGGCGCATGACCAGTTCTACCCAGGGCAGTGTGGCAAGACCTCAGACTTGAGGTGACAATTGAACGGGCACTGGTCAGATGAAAGGAGGAGGAAGACAAGTAAAAGACCACAGAACGAGCAAAAGCCTAACGCAGAGATCAGCAAACCACAGCCTGTGGACCAAATCCCTTCTGCTGTCTGTTTTTGTAAATAAAGTTTTATTTGACTTTATTTAAATGCTCATGCATTTATATTTTTTCCATGGCTGTTTTCACACTACAATAGCAGCATTGAATAGTTGCAACAGAGACCACATAACCCAGAAAACCAAAAATATTAGCTCTCTGGCCCTTTACAAGTAAATGTCTGCTACCCTCTGGCCTAGCGATATGAAAGAGCTGAATATTCAGAAACCTGTAGGGAAGTCCTGATAGCTGACACTTATAGTCCAAAAAGGGGCTCAGTGAGAGAAGAGACAAAACGGTGAACAGAGGCCAACCCTGAAGATTCTTCCGTGCCATATTCAGAAATTCAGTTTTGCTCCTTCAGGAAATGGGTAACAAGAGCAGTTTTGCTTTTAGAAATCTCTCTCAGGGATCCGGATAGACAAGAGAGATGCAAGATCACGGCAGGAGATCAGCTCTCCAAACTTCAAATCTCATAAATTCCTTGATTCAGGAAACATTGAAAAGCTTCATGCTGTCATTATGCATCTTGCTCTATCCTTGGGAAACAGAACCTGGCACACAGACATGCTCAATCAATATTTATTGAATAAAGGAATTAAAGAAAGAATCAAGACAATATTGTAATGGCATCGTTATTAAATGGTTTCCTGAATAGGCTGCCTCTGTTATGAAACAAATAGCTGAGATTCTCACAGATTTCCAGTTTCCATATTAAGAGGCATTGAGATCCAGGCACAAGGAGGTTAACAGTGAAACACAAGCCAGAGAGAAATTCCCTGTGGCTTAATGAGAGGGGATGGAACAAGAAGCAGTTCTGCTAATAACTATCATGAAAATAATAATATCACTTGGCTCCATGCAGCAACTTTCATTGGAAAATCTTGAATCACTTTTTTCTCTTACATAACTATTATTTCCATTTTATTTCCACTAAAGGAGAAGCCAAACCACACAGAGAGGTTATGACTTGCCCAAGGTCATGGAGCAAATCAGAAGATCAGTTTTTAAAAGCTGAGAAGGACATTAGGGTATGTGAAATCCAGTTGCCTTTCCAGCCTAGAATGGGCTGGGTTCATGACTCAGTAAGATACACGGCATTAACTAAGCTCAGTGTCTCTGAAAATGAGTCACGTTAAGGTAGACTAAGGGCCTGAGGGGCTGTGTCACACATACATTTTCAGTAGTCACACATTGTCCCTGCTCATCATATTTTAATGTCTGTCACCAAAGTCCATCACAGGCAGAGCCTCTTGGGAGGTTTAACCTACAGAGGTAGGGAGGTCTACCTCGGGGAGGTCTACCTCGGGGACGTCTGTCCTTTCTGATGTTTGCCCAGCTATCAGTTCCAATGAAGCCCAGGCCGCCCCATTCCATTATCCATTAGCCTATGGCTGGGCTAGCCATGGCTTCTACTGGATCCGTGATGATTCTGGTGTTTGTTTGTTGTCCCAGCATAATTACTAGTAAGTCCTTTTCTTACTCTAAAAAATGCCCCAGTTTGGATCATAAATTAGTTATATGGTCACTCTAACTGACAAATCAAGAAGCATCTATAAGGAGACCAAAAGCCCTCCTTTTTTTTTTTTTTTTTTGAGACAGTTTTGTTCTTGCCGCCCAGGCTGGAGTGCAATAGTATGATCTTGGCTCACCATACCCACCACCTCCTGGGTTCAAGGATTCTTCTGCCTCAACCTCTCAAGTAGCTGGGATTACAGGCATGCACCACACTCCCAGCTAATTTTGTATTTTTAGTAGAGATAGGTTTTCTCCATATTGGCCAGGCTGGTCTTGAACTCCCAACCTCAGGTGATCTACCCGCCTTGGCCTCCCAAAGTGCTGGGATTACAGGCATGAGCCACCGTGCCCAGCCAAAAGCTCTTTTCATCCCAATGGTTCTATCTCAGCCACTTTTGTTTCATGGACCTAGACTCTCGAACTCATATTAGGCTCAAACTCCAAGTCAGTTTAGGAATCTCCTCTGAGCTACATAAATATTCCTGGTCATAGAGTTAGCTACACAGCCCATAGACCAGTTAATTACTAATTGTGAGCAATCACTTTCTTACCTTGTACCAAAATCTACCTTCCATATCTTTTATACATTGATCTTAGCACTATTCAAGAAGCTGAAAACTCAATTCTCCTTCCTGTCCCATAAGAGAACCCCCTTAAGTCCTCTGTTGTCCAGCCCAAATACCACCAAACATCAAGAACAAATTCTAAACAGCATTTAGGAATGTAGCTTTGGAGTCAGACACACCTGGATTCATATTTGGGCTCCATCACTCCCTAGCAAGAGAGCCTTAGGGACTTAACTTCTTAACACTTAACTTCTCCAATCTGACTTTCTTTGTCTGTAAATTTTGAACAAACGTTAACTACTTGAGCTAGGCACTACTAGTTACGGAATCAGTAGCCAGTCCTCCTTTCTTTCTTATTAACAAAGGGGCTCACTTAAATGCTCTTGGATTACCCAACTTTCTTGCAGCCAGATGTGGTCATGGAACGAGGTTCTGGACTAGATGCTGCAAGCGGAGGTACCAGCTGGAGTCCTGAGAAAGCCTGTTAGAGGGCACACATCCAGCTCGCATTGACTACTTAGCTTCTCCCTTCTTTCAAATACTTCCTGAGTAAAAATTAGTTGTGAATCACAAAATAGAGCAGCTATGCTGCATACATGAGGAAGAAAGCCTCCGGCAAAAGAGACCGAGTTCTTGATGGCACCATGGGGCCTGCATTCATACCCTAAACTGCTTACAGCTAGACTTCCTATTACATGAGAAAAAGAAATCCCTCCACTGGTTAGGCCATTTAAAATGGGTTTCTGCTACTTGTAGTCAAACCAGTCCTAAATGACACATACTTCAGAAGGTTGTTGTGAATGTAACATAAACTTACTCCAGTGCCCAGCACAAAACCTAGAGTGAATGGTTTGCTATTGTCAGTATCATAATTATTATTGCTACTCATTGCCATAGACCTTAGAAAGAGGGGCAAGAGCATGTAGTCATAGCAATCCTTCCAAACCTCTGATAGCAGCAGTGCAAAAATATCTGTGAGCACACAAAAAAGTCAGTTGCTGATGTTTCGACAAACACGTCTCTGTTAGTGGCTAATGAAGCCAGTTCTTCAAAGCACCTGATCCTAAAAGCACACACAGATGAAATTCCACCTGGCTGGCAGGTCAGGGAGCAAGTTCTTTCCTACACAGGGAATCCATCCATATTGTATAGTATATCTCCCGGAAGTCCTGTCTTCTCTGAATGACAGTCGAAGCACAACACTTTAAGGATGCCATTATTTCATGGGAACAGTTTCTGCTCAGAAACCAAAGCCACACCTAAAACCAACTGACCACAAGAGCACATGTTCAAATGGAGCTCTGGGAAGTAGAATTACCTTTCTATAACCTACATGAAGCATCTGCCAGGATCAGACAAGGTCACGACTGGCCATGCATTTTTCCCTGGAGTCCACCAAGCCACAGATTTGGGTTCACAGGGGCCTATCCTGGTTTCCATCCCACTTCCAACTTCTCCCTACTCCACTCTGCAGAAAAAGAGTGGTGCTGTGGAAAAAAGAAACAAACCACCACCAAGAACAACAACAACAACAAAAAAAAAAACAAGACAAAACAAAACATCACAAGTTTCAGAGTTGAACAGACCTAAGGTTCAAATTCCAGTGGGTCTCTGGATTTAACTATGGGTGACCCACTTCATCCAGGTATTTTTGGGCAGACCATTTGCCCTTTCTGAGCTGCAGTTTTTGTATCTGTGAAACACATAAGAAGGCTTCACAGGTTTGCAGAGGACTGAAGGAGAAAGTCTGTGTAGCAGTACCTGGTACAGGGTTATCATGAGTCCTTCTTCCCTATCAGCAGCATGGCCCTGGCTGACTTTTTGTATTCATCACCCAAGCCCAAGGAGTAGACCCAGCTCAGGTCACTGCCACCAAGGGCAGCTTGTTTGTTGCCTTCTACCCTGTGCATCATCATCCAAGTTTTTGGGCCACACTTGGGGAGCCAAAGCCTTCTCCGAAGCTGAGGTCATAAAGCAGAAAAAGACAAAGCTCTGCTTTCAGAGAGCAGGTTTGGTTGGCAGTGAGCAAAGCCACCTCTCTGTAGCCAATCTGCCCTTGGGTATGGGAATGAGTCCCCAGTAAATCCAGCACAAAGCGGCTGGCCCATTCAGCCTTCCCACCCACCACAGCCATGAGTAACACCTGGAAAAGAGCTAAGCACTGGGAAACAGCTCCACCCAGCCTGTCTATCTCCAGGCACAGCCCCCTTGGGGCTCAGCCTCAGGCAGGATGGAATATGACAGTCACAAGATTCACACCTCAAGCTATGAAACATATTCTTCTCGCTACGTCACCTGGCAGGTGTCATCGGCAGTTGGTTTTACAGCTACAGTGGTGCACACACAGCATTTTGTTCACCTCTGTGTCACAGGAATGGCCACTGTTATTCTCCTCACTTTTAACCATGGGAGTATCTAGGGACATTTATCAACAGCGTTTGTGGATATTGAGACTGGCTGGATATTTGTACATACATTTTTCTGCAACTCCATAAGCTGGCAACATAAGACCATGCAGAAACCAGAAATTCAGGATCCATACATAATGACTCCACACAAAATGTGTTTTGTCACAGAGTATAAGAATAGATAAACTAGTAATAGCAAATGATGTGCATTTACTGTACTGCAGGCTCTGTGCTGAGCATGTCACTTTCTATTATTATTATTATTATTATCCCCATTTTACCAAAAAAAAAAAAAAAAACCCTCGAGTCTTCTTGGTGCATTCTAGATGTTAACTCCTTTTAGGTGTTAGATATTATATATCTTTTCTTATTTTGTCACCTTTTTGTTAACTTTGCTTATTGTGCCTACCCTTTACAGAATTCTTAATTTTTAAAATATAGTCAACTCTATTAAATTTTCAACTTATGGCTGGGCACAGTGGCTCATGCCTGTAATCCCAACACTTTGGGAGGCCAAGGTGGGAAGATCATTTGAGGTCAGGAGTTTGAGACCAGCCTGGCCAACAAGGTGAAACCCGTCTCTACTAAAAATACAAAAATCAGCTGGCCATGTTGGCACATGTCTATAATCCCAGCTACTGGGGAGGCTGAGGCAGGAGAATTGCTTGAACCCAGAAGGCAAAGGCTGCAGTGGGCTGAGATGGCACCACTACACTCCAGCCAGGTCAACAGAGTGAGACTCATCTCAAAAAATAATAATTACAACTTATGGTTTGTGTATTGAGTACCTTCTTTAACATCTCTAATATCTCCTTTTAGCTTTATAATTTTACTTTTGCACTGAATTCTTCTTTGGCATATGCTTGAGAGAGTGAACTAATAAGCTGTTTCTCTACTACCAAGTAATGAGTTTTAGGCAATCCATCCCTTCCCCACTGATTGATGGTGCCATGTTTATCCCAAAGAAGGTTCTCATGTAGACTCAGGTCTGGCTCTCACTCTCTGCTCTTTCCCTAGATGTATTTGACTATGTTCCAATTTCAAGCTGATTTTGTCTGGAAGGGTGAGTTCCTTCTCTTTTCTCTTCATTTTTCAAAATGACTTATGCATCATGAACCTTTATTCCTTCTTATAGAGTAAGTATGTTGGAATTATTTACTCTTCATTTTAGAGTAAGAATGTTGAGGTCCTCAAAAAAAAAAAACTTGCAATAATTTTGTCTGAAATTACATCAAATTTATAGGTTAATTTTGAGGGAAATTAATGTGTTTATATTTTAAAAATGTGGTATATCTTTCCATTTATTCAGATCTTTTCAAATGAACAATTGAGTTTTAATTTTTTCTTGATAAGTTCTTTGATAGGTTATTTTCTACATACTTTGGAGTTTGTGAATAGTACCTTATTTTTAAAAAATATTTTCAAGATGGTTTTGATAAAGAATAGTACTTCTTAGACTAGGCACAGTGGCTCATGCCTATAATCCTGGCACTTTGGGAGGCTAAGGTGTAAGGATCACTTGGGGCCAGAAATTTGAGACCAGCCTGGGCAACATAGTAAGACCCTGTTTCTACAAAAAAATACAAATTATCCAGGCATGGTAGTGGGTGTCTGCAGTCCCAGCCATTCAGGAGGCTGAAGTGGGAGGACTGCTTTAGCCCAAAAGTTCAAGGCTGCAGTGTGCTGTGATCTCACCACTGCATTCCAGCCTAGGCAACCCTGTCTCAAAAACAAAAAAGCAAAACAAACAGAAAAAAGAATAACAATTGTTTAAAAGTGACCAGGTATTCATCATGTCTGTTGGAGTCTCTTATTTTATTTAGTCTGTTGATGAAATATGCGGATGCAACCTTTTATTTCTCTTTTCTCTCCTTTTCCTTTTTTCTTCTCTTTCTATCTTGCCCAGAAACTGCAATATACAAAACAATTAACAGTTAATTGTTGTTAAACAGTAACAGTGAAAGCAGGTTGTGTCTAAATTTTTTTTAACTTATTGTATGACCATTTAGAACCTTCAAATAACTTCCATACCCATTACACCATTTGTGTTTCATAAATACCCATTAGTAAGGAGAAAAGGTATTGGTTCATTTTATAATTAACACTCAATATGGTTGAGTTTTGGAGGATCACATAACTAGCAAGGATCTAGAAATGAAAATTCATATTCAGGTCTTTAAAGCTTCAAGTTATCTCGCTATGACAAGCTGCTTTATATCTAGTCAAAATATATAAAACCACATGATTTAATTCAGTAATACACAAAGTGAATTTGAATTTAAATCCCATTCCATCCTGAAAAAGATGGTCTGATACAATCCTATCATTTTTTTAAAGAAAACTGTATCAGCTGATATTAAACATCTAAACATTTTCAAGTGTTAAGAGCCATATGACCATATCAACTAAGGTTGTAATTCTATTAAGAATTTGGGTCTATACCATGGCAAAACAGTCAGTTACTTTGGTCAGTTTAGGTAAAGTTATGGCAAAACAGTTAATTTAGGTCAGTTTTGTGAGAGGGAGGGAAACTGGGTAAGAAATATTCATCACATTAATTTTACTAACATTACAATACAACTACAAATTTTATTTGTTTGGGCATGTTTAAACATTTAAAAGCTGCTGTAAAGATAATGTTGTTACTTCATTTTTGTAAGAAGGAAAAACTAAGTAAATCAATTTCTTGGTTGTGCAAAAATAGCCCAAGGGGAAGTGACAGACCTGTGAACAGAACTCATGAATTAAACCTGAGCTTGGTCTACCAGTTCTCTGTAATCAAGCCCCACGATTCACTCATGGAAATCAGTGCTTCTTAAACTCACTGAATGGCAGACACCTCAACAGACACACATCTGTGGATTCCCATAGCTCCTTTAAAAGTAACCATCAGGAAGCAATTAGTGACTGCATCTGTCTCCAACAATCAAGGTATTTTTCTTTTCATTTCTTGTATCTTCACTTAGGGAATGTGTAAGGGATCGTCCTCTCTAAATGGTGCTGTTGCTTGGAATGTACAAACTATGCTGATTTGTGAAAGGGTCCCAGGCTTAAACAGCAGGAAAGCACAAATAAAACTGTACTCAAAGAAGAAGAATCTAAATGTCTCAGAAGAGGAAATCAGAAAATGGTAAACTTTCTTAAATGCAGCTTTGCAAATTGAGTAGTAAAATACAATAATGTAACTAAGCAGGAGGCTTACATAACTAGAAAAAAATGAGGGGCAAGGAATGGTTCCAAATCTGTTGTATTTATTAGAACTTCTGATTTCCTCTGAAATGGCACACGCAATGAAATTTACTGTGAGCTAGCTAACACAAAAATCTTGTTTTTATGAGAAATAAGTATTGTCAGAAAAACTAACAGATTCTATTTTAAATCCTCAAGATTATAAAATTGAGCTTTTCATAGATGAAGGAAAAAAGAGGCTCCAGAATAGAGGCATCATGGAGGTAGTGATTTCTATTTAATCTCTTACCTGCTCAGGGAAAAAAATCATCTCAATTGAAATTAATACAGTTTTCTGTGGCAGAATATATCATGACGACTAATAATGCAGGGGCTGTCTGTATTGAGTGAATTTTCTTTTTATTAAAAAAAAAATACCCATGGTTGTTAAACACATGAACTGTACAAGTTTATATTTGGTCAACCCCTGTACACCCACCTGTTCATTCAGGCCATTAGCCCTGAGGACTTAGAAAGCAAATGAATGATCTGTACAGCAGTGGGTAAAAATAAACTGAACTATTCTTGTAACGCTATCAGAAATGATCTGACCAAACAGAAGATCACGTTTCATGAGATAAAGTAGTCAAATGAGATGTTTCCTCATGTTTTATGATTGGTTTGGCTTATTCACTGTGTATAAAATAGCTGACCTTCATTCCAGGAGAATGAGCAGCAACCAAATTTAATGCTATGTGCTCAGGGGTTCAAATCTGGTTTCATTGCCTCTGAGGCAAAGTTTCAAATGTGCTACTGTTACAGAGACCCAATGCTTGGCATATAACTAAGAAGGAACATTTAAGTCATTGGACACTATATTGCCTTTGTGGGGGTTAATCATGTTATTTCAATGTGTTCGCCTCTTTGGGAATAAAGTTTAAGTAGAAGTTGGATAAGTTATTAGCTTTTGGAGTGAGCATATATATAATATATCTATATACACATATATTCTATATAAAACAAGCATTATACATATATAAAAACATAAAAATATGCTCACTTCAAAAATATGTGTGCATATTTTTATGTTTTATATATGTATAATGCTTGTTTTATATATAATATATAATCTCAATATTATATATATATTAATATAGTGTATTATTATGACACATGGGTACATAAACAGCACTTGATAACTGACAGCTTTTACTATGGTTGGAAAGACAAATATATTTGCCCTCTATCTAAGAAGGTGATTTGTTTTAAAGCGACATTTTGGCAAGTCAAAAAAGAAAAAAATTAGATTAGGTTGCTACTTATGATTATTCAAGTTGGTATTTCAAAGCATCCTGCTTACTTATCATGCTCTGAGTCCCTTTTAGAAGCACTTTCAGGTAGAATTCAGCTAAGAAGAAACAGGTTGGCAATTGATACTTGGCTTATTTCAAACATTTGTTACTAAATGACTGTATCCTTTTAAAAAAGAATAAAATTCATTTTTGCCATTTATCTTTATTTTTATTTATATTCCTTCTCACCATTTTTGCTATTTAAAATTTTTTTCCCTGCTTAATAAAGCTTTTAGAGTTAGCACTTATTTATTTTCAAAATGTTTTTTCTTCATTCCTACAAATAGTTTTTGGAATCGGATTTTATACAACCTAAATCAGTTTTTTTCTTTTGCCAAAAGCAACATATATCCACTACAAAAAATTAGAAATTGCAGGTAAGTATAAGGAAGGAAGATTTAAATATGTGTAATCCCACCACCCACAGACAGTCACTGTACATTCCCTCAAATATTTTGATTCAAATGCATATTTTTAATAATGGTGGAATTACGTTGTACTTTTACCCTTTTGAAGTTAGTGTTTCCTTTAATTACCACAATTATCTTTCTATGCCAATAAATATTCATCTACATCTTTTATTAGTAGCCTTCCAACATAAGATCATTTACCTGAGCAATTCCCTATTGCGGAAATTTAGTACATTTTACTTTTTTCTTTTGCTATTATCAGCAGTATCTCCATGAATAAGTGAAGAGATAACAATTAGTTACTCAAACCTTTGAAAACACCACTTAATGAGTCTTGCAGTTCAGAGCAGAACAGATCATTATCCTGACTATAATCCAAGCCTTTCCTTGTATATCTTACTGTGAGTCCAGGACCATCATTGAAAAATAGTCAAGTTTGGTGGGTGGGCTAGATTAGAATAAGAGAATGTGAGGAAAGATTTTCATTTCTGGTCTCAATAATGAATGTGCAAACCAGAACCTACAAATCAGCTCGTGATCAAAAATACCTTCACAGAAAGCAGGAATACTGAAATGGGAAGAAGGGAAAAGGAAGGAAACTCGCAGACCACTGCTGCTCTCACTCTCTGCAGCTACCATGTCCATATTTGTTTTGAAAAACACTCCTTGCCCACAGTCTGGTCTCTGGTATGAGGAGCAATGACATTCCCATTTTACAGGTAAAGGTACTGAGGCACACACAGAGAAGCTGACAACAGTGTTCACAGTGCTACAACCAGTTAGTAACACATCCAGGGTCTGAGCCTGTGTGTTCTGGCTCACAGACAAGTGCTCGTTTTATGCTCACATAATTCTCAGTAACACTGGGAATAATTTGGAAGAGGAAACAGGACACAATGCAGCAGGGAGATGAGCAGAAACATAATTCTCCTGAGAGACAGCGTGGAGGCATTTGTTAGCTACTTGACACTGGTCTAACATCCTCAGTAAGAGGATAATACCTCTATCTACCTCCCTAGGGCAATATGAGCATGATTGCTGATTTAGAAATTTGTCCCTGTAAGAGCTTTGATATTCTCAAAGGAGACGTGCTGCCGCAAAGTAAAAATATTTTCTTTGCTTCCATTGTGCACATGAGAGAAAGGAGATTTGGATCAGGTAAATAAATTATTGGAAGACATATACATTCTTTATCTAATCACATTAGGATAATACTCCTGAGCTCCTTGAATGGAGGTATCCTGGGTACCTGCTGTCCTTAGCACATAACTTACAAAACAGTGAAAATCTTACTCAACTTAATCAGAACTACTTATTAATGGGCTAATCAGAAATGTCAGTCAAGGAAAAAAATGGGACACATTTATGTTGTAAATGTAATCCCTCAACAGGTTCTTCCCACCCGATGCACAGAAGAAATCAATTCACTGACACCATGGTATTGAAATAAAGAAAGAGTTTAGTTAATGGAGGGCCGTCCAGTGGGACTGTCATTATCACTCAAGTTGGTCTCCCCGAAGGCTCAGAGGCTAAGGTTTTTCAAGGATAGTTTGGTGAGTCAGGGACTAGAGAATGGGTCTTTCTGATTGGTTGGAGATGCAATCAGAGGAGTGTAAAGAAAATCATCCTCAAGTGCTAGTCTGCCTCTGGGTGGGCGCTACAGCAACCTGAAAAACATCTCAAAAGATCAATCTTAGGTTCAACAATTGTGATGTTATCTATAGGAGCAATGGGGGAAGTCATAAATCTTGTGACCTCTGGCCACATTCCTGAGCAGTAAGAGATTACAGAAACTCTGCCTATACCTTAGCAGAATTCAGGCCCCTTCCATAATCTTAATCCTGTAGCTTTTCATTCGCCTTACAAAGGCATTTTCAGCCCCCAAATAAGGAGAGCATCCGTTTTAGGTAGGTACTATTATTTGCTTGTTTCAGAGTTAATACACTAAATTCTTCCCATGGTTAGCTTGGTCTACACCCAGGAATGAGTGAGGACAGCCAGCCCATGAGGCTAGAAGCAAGATGGAGTCAGCCATGCTAGACTTCTCTCACTGGTATAGTATAGTCTTTGCAAAGGTGGTTTCATAAACATATTATATTATATTATATATTTTTAAGATGGACTCTTGCTCTGTTGCCCAGGCTGGAGTGCAGTGGTACGATCTCAGCTCACTGTGACCTTCATCTTCCAGGTTCAAGAGATTCTCCTGCTTCAGCCTCCCATGTAGCTGGCATCACAGGTGTGCATCACCACGCCTGGCTAATCTTTTTATTTTTTTGGTAGAGGTGAGGTTTCACCATGTTGGCCAGGGTGGTCTTGAACTCCTGACCTCAGGCGATCTGCCTGCCTTGGCCTCCCAAAGTTTTGGAATTACAGGTGTGAGCCATCATAAACCTGCCCATAAACATTATATTTTAAAAATGTATTTACCAACCCAGTGGAAGGCCATGGTTCTTTAGATTCTCACTATAGATTCACTGGCAAGGCTCCAATACCACATTTTTTTGCCTAAACCACACCCATAAGATCTCATTTTTCATTTTCAACTTTCCTTTCTTTGTAGTAGGTGAGAACTTAAAGACACTCATGAGCAACATACTGCAGAGTTTATTATTTTTCCTAGTCTCATATCGTTAATTTAACATTAGTGAGTCTTTCCAAAGCATTCCATTTAAATGTCATGGTAATAATTCTCACTCTTCACCCTCGTGTTGTTAACGTAACATTCATGTAGATAGCATAGTTTTAATAACAAGTAAAACTAGCACAAATATGTCCGGGAACAAACAATTCTGATTATCAAAAAACACAAAACTCAACTCCTCAGAGAAGAAAGGGATCCGGTCCCTTAGCCTTACAGAGGGAATGAATGTTGGTTCCTCCTATGAGTCACTTAAGTAGAAGCTGGTTAAAAGAGTGCCCAGAATAGTTTTTTTATTAATTAATTATTAATATTAAGCAGTGTATTTGTGGACAATGACTGGTGACAGTCCCAGGTAGGAGTTTAAATCATATGTATTCATTCACACTCAAAGTTTTAAAATCTCATCCTCCCTACCCCAATAAATTTCCAGAGTCTGTCAACTTGCCCCTCTACATGATAGGTTTGAGTTCACATTATCCTGCTCATAGGACCATAAAAGACCCAGTTATTCACCAGGAAAGCCTCTTAAGATGAGAAGGAAGAGCTCCAA